GTTATGGGTCAGTGTGGGACGTCATGTCTTGTGGTGAAGCCGGTCCTATGATCCTCTCTGTGAACTGGCCGCTGTGAGCAGGAATATCATCCTCAAGGTTTGGTGGGCCAGGATGTGCTCCACTCTTTCTCCCTTCCCGCTTTGTTTGCCCCTATGTGCTCTAATCAGACACTTCCCCCTCACTGAGCTGTAGCTTCAGTGCTGTCCTCTGAAGTGAATTCTTCTAGGGTGGGGGGTGGGATTGGGGCCAGCCCACTTTCTACTTTCACTTTCAATTCTGAAGTTGCTTTCAGGAACCATCCCCCCACCAATCATTTTATTGGGGACTCTTATAGCTCTTTTAACATTCCAAACAACAATTGTATCAAATATATTTGTACATATGTTGCCATCATTTTCTAAACATATATTTTCTATTTGAGCCCTTGGTATCAGCTCCTCTTTTTCTCCTCCCTCACTTCCTCCCCACCTCGTGACCCTTGATAAATTATTATTGTTTTCATATCTTACACTGATCACTCTCTTCCTTCACGCATGTTTCTGTTATTCATCCCCCTGGGGCGGGGGTTATGCATCAACCATTGTGATTGGTTCCTCTTTCCTCCCTACCCTCCTGATATCACTTCAAGGACCCAATTGTGTGGATTATTTTAATAATATTTTGGGCAGAAGGAAATAAAAGGTTGGAGAGAACTTTCTGGCATATTGAAAGAAAATGAGATTGTCATGACTTAATATAGATTTGTGTGGTCTATAATAAGTGCTTGTAACCCACCAGTATAACATGAAACAGAATAGTATCACTCACACAATGATTATAAGATTTATTTAAAATAGCCATTCCTAGTACACATCATGGCCTCAAATTCATCAGACGGAACTATAAGACATGTTTAAGTTGAATGACAGGCATCTTTTTTCATTACGTTCAGAGTATTTCTGGGTATGCAAATATAATCGAATTTCGAGGTAGCAACAAAAGTTCTTTTATGGATGATAGCAACAAAAGTCGTTTTGTGGATGCAAGTCCTGAGCACAAAGCCGAACCAGATCATTCACAGTAATGGAAGAAGATTTATGGGAAAAGTCAAAATGGGGAAGGAGGCTAGAGGAGAGTGTTCATGAGCCAGGGGCAGGCTGGGTGAGGAGAGTAGAGCAGGGAGAGAGAAAGGGGTGGGGAAAGAAAAGAAGTAGGAAAGAAAAAAGAAAAAGAGAGAGTTTGAAGTCTCACTAATTGGAAAATAGAACCAAGGTTCAAGTCAAGTGGATTGCCAAGATATCAGTTAGCGGTAAAAGCCAGGTGGGAGGGAATGGAGCCTTGATATACATGATTGGATTGAATTTTGGGATTTACAATTATTGAAGAGGAAAAAAAGCAATGTTTTGGAGTGGGAGACTAGAAAAGCATTGCAGAATCCAGAGCAGGTGTATGAGTTGACCTAAGGAGTACACGAGGCTTGTTAAGCCAGGGCCTTCTCTCTGCCCTCATTTTAAGCACTTTTCTTCAAGGTAGTAGATAACAACTAAGCGGACTTAGAGCTTTTGTACATACTGAAGCAACCTGAGCAGGAGCTCTCCAAGAGAGCTGTGAGCTTTCTTCTTCAGTGAGCCCTCCTAGTTGCAGGACCTGGAAAGATGAAAATATTGGCATTTTCAAGGACATACACACTTATTCTGGAAAATCATGCTCAGTTGTCACCTTGCGATAGGTAAGTTTATTGGGCCAACCTGGCCAATAAACACAGGTGGGATTAATAAGGTCTCAGTTTAATGGAAGGGCAAAGAGATAAATGGCTCACCTTTCTGTCACTTGCTCTCTGATCATCAGACCAGTGTGTGGCTGCCTTAGCTAGTTCTCTGCCTTAACTTTTGAGCTGTACTGCCTGTGGGACACCCAACCTGTGGACCATATCACCATAGTTTGAGGTTCCTTTGAGACCTGCGTCACCACATCGCTGGTGTGTCTGCTTGAGCTGGGGACTGTCGGACCCTGTCATCTGACTGACTGTTGCTGACCTGCCCTGCTGTTTGCTTCCTGTGGCCGGACTGCCTATATTGCTTTACAGAAGACTCAGCTGTCTGCTTCCTTGACTTGCACCCAGCAGCCCTTGTGAGTTGAAGGACTGCCAGTATACTAACTGTCTCATGGAAGTGAGTTGAACTGAGCCCTCTGTATTGCCCTATGGATTAATTAGCTGTTTATTTCTTGTGTTGTATCTATCTATATCTATCTATCTATCTATCTATCTATCTATCTATCTATCTATCTATCTATCTATCATATATATGTAAAGTCATAAGTGTCCTGGTTTTGATTCTCTAGAGAACCTTAACACATACCTCTAAAACCTTTTCTACCTTCTGTAGACAGAGCCTTGGTCGTGCTATAGGATAAACACAGGGCTGCTAGTTCTGAGATCAGTGGTTCAGACCCCCATCATCTATCTCCACTGGAAAAAAATATGAGGTTGTCTTCTTCTATAAAGATTTACAGTCTTGGAGACCCTATGTAGGGATGCGATGATTGGAACTGGTGCTGTGGTGGGGGCTTTGGTTTTGGAGGGCAGACAGAGCTAAGGATACCTTTCTTATCCATATTAGCCATATCTCTGCTCGTGTACTTGAACCAGTTGCTGAGAGTTGACTCTGACTCATACTGACCCTATGTATGTGGGAGCAGAATTATGCTCCCCAGGGTTTCCAATGCTTGTGAACTTTTGGAAGATTGTTAGGCTTTTCTTTTGAGACTCCCTCTGGTGCCTTTAAACCACCAACCTTTCAATTAATAGCTGTGCTCTTAATACACCTGTTGGTGTATGCAGGGACTCCTGTTAGGGGCCATGATTATATTAAGTTCATCCTTAACTGCTTCTTTACCCACATCTAAATGTGGGGTCCACATCAGTCAGGAAATTCAATTGATTGGTTGGCAGTTGGGTAACACAGGGCTATCAAGACCTTCATAAATGTAGGACCTACCACTTGTCTAATGAGGCTGTGATTGGGGGAATATTTGACTTCACAACCATTGGCCATGAGGCACTTCTCAGCCACCATGTCTTCAAATTCAGCATTGCACTTGGTAAACCCCCACTCCTTGGATCTTCTGGTGCTTAGGGAACCAGAAGTTGGTCCTGTATAAAGCCTTAATCACATGCTTCTTGTTCTGATGCTTGGTGTGGATAGACATGATGACCTGGCTGATGTGGACTCCAGTCATCATCCCTTGGGTTTCCCCAAAGCACCTCACATCCCACTTCGGAGCCTAGTTTGGCACAGCAGAAATTATCAAGGTCAGAGCTATTAAAGAACAGGAGAGGGCTGTCTCCAAGGTCCCTTAGGGCAGCCTAGACTTGCCAACAGGCTTCGTTCACTACCAAGGAGTCTCCTGTTCACAGCCATTGCACACTGGCCCCCACAAGAAGGAGGACAGTTGGCTTAAAAGGCTGCAAATTTCCCCACATTTTAGTAGTCAGGGAATAGACGTGGAAGTCAGCAGGATACCAAGGTTCATGCTGGCTCATAAATTTCCTCCTTTGACTGCAACACATTTCATGACCTTCTGAACACAAACGGCCGCTGACCAAGCTATAGCCAGGATGTGCAGGATGCATCCCACCACCTCCAATGGGGCGTAAGGTGTTGAAAGCCTGAATCCAGGGGCTGGCAATGGGGAGAGAAGGACACAGGTGGATACAAAGACCACTTGAAGGAAAGATCAACACAATTTGGTGACTAACCGAGCATCTGGCTGAAGGAAAGGAGTGAATGAAAGATGGATGCAGCTTTTTTAGAGCTGGCTTTGCCTGGATTTCTCTCAGTGACTCACACACATCTCTTAAGCTCCCTAGTCCATAAATGAAGATGATTCACCAAAAGGGTACAAGAGAATAGTGACCATTGGAGCCCCTTTCAGTGTGGAATTATCCACATGGTAATTTCGAGACATTCAAGTTGAATTATTCGGAGTACGTGGAAATACCCCTCTGGACTCAGGAGAGAGGTGAGGACTACAAACACAAGTTTACTGACCGCAGAGGGAAAGTCGAGAGGAGGTTAAAACAGCAAGTTTATGTTGAAGCACTAAGTTTCCAAGAAACACTTCTTTTTGGCATGGGAGAATTTAGGGACAAAACTTTAAAAGGAGCCTTCAGGCAAGTTGTGTCAGATATTGAGTTGCAAAATCAAAACACATCAAAATGATTCTTAGAATCTTCTTTTTAGCTTGGCCTCTTTATTTCTGTGGCTTTCTCCTTGTTGGGACATCCCTTCCCTTCTGCTTATCACACAACTCTTTATTTTTATTTTTTAAAAATTAAGTAGCATGTTAACTAGTTGCTCTGAAGTTGATTCCAACTGATGGGGACCCTATATGGGGAGAGTAAAATTGCACTTCATAGAGTTTTCAATGATGTGATATTTTAGGACTAGATTCCTGGCCTTGCTTCTGACATACTAGGTGGATTTGAACTACCAACCATTTAGTTAGTATTCAAATGCACAATATTTGTGTCATCCAGAGAGTCCTCAAATTTTGGTGGAATACACAAACACTTTATTATTTTTATCATCTTATGAGGGGATACCCAAAATAAATGGGATTTTTTCAAAGCTATGAATTTAAATTTTTTACAAAACAACCTTATCACCTTCAAAGTAACTCTCCATTATACTTAATACATTTGTCAAATATGCGATTCTATTCTTTTCAAACTCATCTGTTTGGATGGCTGACAGCACCTCCCTCATTCCCCCCGCCCCCCTCACCTCTTCTACATCTTCAAATTGTTGCCCTTTCATATCCCTCTTCGTTCGCAGAAACAAAAAGAAGTCACATGGAGTGAGGTCAGGTGAGTCTGATGCACGGGGCAAAAGAGGCATGCTGTGTTTGCCAAAAACTGGTGCACTGAGACAACTGCGTGAGCAGGTGCTTTGTTGTGGTGGCAAAACTAGTCCCGGATCTGCCACAAACCAGGCCTTTCTTGTTGCACACTGTTATACAATGATTTCAGAACCTCTCAGTAGAAAGCTTGACCTGGTGGAATTAACTCCAAATGCACTATCCCCCTCACATCAGCGACATTTTTTTCCTTTTGGGGGGTGGTGGTGTAACCCACATAGTAGCAAGTAGTATAGTTACAATTTTGTGCACCCCCCACCACTATCCAGTTCAATGACATATTCATTACCCCAAAATGAAATCCCATACTACACAATTTCCCTCTTTACCCAATCCCTGACAACTGCGATTCTGTTTTCTGTCCCTATGGATTTGCTTATTTTTGGCATTTCCTATAAAAGCAAGAATACAATATAAGGCCCTTTGTGTCTAGCTCCTTTCACTAAGCTTAAGGTGTTCAAGGTTTATTCATGTTGTAGCATATATCAGAACTTCATCCTTTTTTTAATGGAACCATAAAAATTATATGCAAATACCTCATTTTGGTTATCCACTCACCAATGTATGGACTCTTGGGATGTTTCCATCTTCTACTACTGTGAATAGTATTGCTGTGAACACTTAGGTACATTTTTAATAGGTTTGTTGGCATATACTTCACATACATACAATTTATTCATTTAATCATATTAAAGATATTTGTGCAAATATCACCATACTCAATTTCAGAACATTAGTTTTCAGACCCGTTGGTTGCTCCCTGTTTCCCCCCATCCTCTCCTACTATGGCCCTAGGTGATAATCTGTCTAGGTAGTGTCTCTGGAGATCGACCTAGCCTGGATTACATATACAGAAAATCATACAAAATACAAACAGGAAGCAAACAAACAAACAAAACCCAACAACGATGACTAGCCAAATATAGAAAGACCTCAATCAAAAAGAAAATAGAAAATATTAAAAACTGAAACAATGTTAAAATGGGTCAAAAGGTAGAGCAAATGATAAAGTATTACCTACATGTTAATCTAACTATATCTGCCGTAATCAATTTTACAATGTCCTGTGTCTGATGGAAAGGCTATTCACGTCCCTGGACTACGTTTAGATGGGATTTGCTGGATGTTTACTCCTTGTGGGGACCTTGCGAATGGATTTTGGGCTTCCACTATCATCCATAGCCTTCTCCAAACTAGGTGCTCACAATTTAAACTCTGATACCAGATTCGGATGTTATTATATACAACACTTGGATTACACAGTTTGGTGTGCTTCTTCCATGTGGTTTTTGTTGATGCCTCACGTAGATGACTACTTGTTTGAAGATAAGCCTTTAAGACTCCAGATGCTATTCCTTCTGATAGCTGGGCGCCATCTAGTTTCTTCACCACACTTTTCTATCTTCATAGCTTCAGTAATCGCTTCATGGGGGTGAGCATTGCGCAGGGCCATGTCATCAGAGCTAATTGTTTTAAACGTGTAAGCCCTAAATCCATTCACATATGTATGGTTCATATAGGTCTCTGGTTCACTTCCAAGACATCATTATCATTTTATGATAGAGAATATTGTCAATCTTCTCCCTGGGACATAAGTTAATGGTAATGATAGTGATAGTGTCTAATGATAGTGTCATTAATTTAGCCAATGGTATGGAATTTAAAACACTGTTGAGAAAAGGAAATGATTCCTGTACAGGTCAGCTGCAGACCACAATACATATTGTTGACGTGTATAAATTGCACTCAAGTGACTGGACATTTACACGAACAATAGGGGTTCTGTTTTGGTGGGGGGTGTGTCAAAACGTTCAAGAACCCTGATTCACAAAGGCAGGACCATGGCTACTAGACTAATATATGTCATAAGAAAGCAAAGAAAGCATTAAAATAGTAAATATATGGTAGTCCCAAGCCTCTATTCATTCAGTATCCTCAAAGCAAGCGATCTGAACTAAAGCCCAATGACCATCAACTCCATAGCCTTATGCAAACGGGGTAGGAGCCAGATCTTGAAGATCATTCCATCTCTGTTCTCGTGTGCACAGGAGTCACCTGGGCCTGTCTAAACATGCAGCCTCTCATTCAATCGGTCTACGGAAGACCTAAGGGTCCCTAGTGAAACAAGGTAGGTACTCAGCTGCTAATGGAAAGTTTGGTGGTTAGAACCCCCCCAGCAGCTCTTGGTGGGAAAAATTTGGGAACACACTTCTGTAAAGATTACCACCAAGACAACTGTATGAGGCAGTTCTGCGGGGGCTCTATGAGTCAGACTAACGGAGAGCAGCCAACAGGAACACAAGGGGGGTCAGAGAGCCTGCTTTCCAGGCAGCCCCTATGCAATCCCAATTACACAGTTCGGTGCCATCCAGTCGGCTTGAATCCTAGCGTTGCTACAACAGAACGAAACGCCGTTGGATACAGAACCACCCAGCGGGGCGGCTGTTTGAGCCCACTGTGGCCGCGACTGTGACCATCGACCGTGTTGAGGTTTTCCTCTTTTTCCTCCGACACTCCATGTTAGCTCGCATGATGCCCTTCTCCAGTGCCAGGACAAAGACCGCCCCCCTCGCTTCGAAGGAGCATTCTGGCTGTACTTCTTCCCAGACAGATTTGTTTATTCTTTTGGGAGTTCATGTTATACTTCATATTCTTCACAAAACAGTAAAGAAAAAACATAGCATTTTCTTAAATATTCCTTATTGTTTGTCCAGCGTTCACACGCATATGAGATGCATGAAAATACAATGGCTTTGGTCAGCCCCACCTTAGTCTTCAAGTGACAGCCTTCTTTGTTTTAACTATTTATTTTTAATCCCCCCCCCCTTTTTTTTAACATTGAAAGAGGTCTTGTACAGCAGATTTGACTGATGATCTAACAAAGACTCTAAGCTCCCACAAGTCTGCTAAGGATGTTGATATTTTCTGAGAGCATCGAACAGTTATTGGAAGAGTTCTCAAAAGAACGTGACAAGATCAATTCTAGATTTTATTACTTATTTATTTATTTTAAAAATCATTTTATTGGGGGCTCATACAACTCTCATCACAATCCACACATACTTCCATTGTGTCAAGCACATTTGTACATTTGTTGCAATCATCATTCTCAAAACATTTTATTTCTACTTGAACCCTTGGTATCAGTTCCTCATTTTCCCCCTCTCTCCCCACCCCACCTCCCTCACGAACCCTTGATAATTTATCAGTTATTATTATGAGCTTTCCAGTTGTAGAATGGCGAATATATTGGCACAGACAAAGAGATGAAGAAAAAATTATTGAATTAATTATGATCAAGAAATTAAGATCTGTGTATTCTTCCACAAACATTAGTAACAATGGCTATAAATCCGTTTTCATGACAAGGAAAATTATTTTGGCATAAAACTAGATTAAACAGGAGAAATCAAAACCATATATACACCCCCCCCCCAAATAAAACCCAAAACAAAACCTATATATACAAGGTGATTTTAACTTTGTAGAACAATGTGCAAAGGAGGGGTGAATGTACTACACTGCTGATGATAACTCTGGGTGGATGTATTT